GTGCACTTCTTGGTGGCATCTCTTTTATGGTGTCTTGTTTAACTTTTGTTGTCTTTGTTGTTCTTAAAATTAGACATTCTGCCTGAAAACTCTAGAAGCCTATTACTCCATTACTTTAAATAGAATAATTATAATATGGTAAACATCAACCACAAATTCTCAACGAATTTCCTAAAAAGACAATTAAACACAGTAAAATGCCTATGTACAAATAACTATCACATAAGGATGTAAGGTGCTTAAAACATAACTTCCCGATCACAGTAATTAATATGGTTTTTAAAAAACAGTTGTTTTGTGTGTAGTATCATGCCTCTCTTACCACCCACACTGGAGACCCAAGTATACCCTTTGACATTCTGATTTTGAAAATATTTCTGTGATTTTGATATTTTATCAGTAACTAGGAATTTTTGTGGTTTTGTTTTAAAATATATTACTGAATTTTGGTGGCATGTATATATATTTTTCCTCTATAAACAACAGTAAATATATTAAGAGATATATATTAAGAAAGAACAGGCATTCTATTAGGAAAACATTAACAGTAACAGTTAGATATGCCTGAATTTACTGAGCATTTATTATAATTACAATTTCTTGCTGATCACTTACATGGCATACCTCCTTAGTGTTTTGTACATAAGGTGCTAATTAAATATCTGTAGGTTGGCTTTAAATATACCTACTTGTACCTCAGACCAGATAAGGAGATTGAGCCCTGAGTAGAAAATGTACACATGCTGAATATGTGCCTTAATGCCCCTCCAACCCCTGTGTGTTTGTGTTTGTTTGTTTTTGCAGTCTTTAACGCCAAAAGGAAAAAGAAAGTGGCAAAGATATACCAGGCTCTGAACAGTGATCCCACTGATGTGGCTGCCCTTAGACGCATGGCTATTAGCGAGGGAGGGCTCCTAACTGATGAGATGAGACGAAAAGTGTGGCCCAAGCTCCTCAATGTCAACATCAATGACCCACCTCCTATATCAGGTAAGATGGGGAGTACTGTGAGGGGAGCTTATTTAGGAGGCAAGGAAAAAAGAATTTCAGAATCTTTGATTTTTATGCAAATGTCAAACCAAGAGTAGATGAGTAAATCTAAAGCATTGAGAATATGATTGGTCCGACTCTGAAAATAAGGCCAAACTAATAAGTAGAATTTTATTCAAAAATGGAATGAGCTTTTATTGCTAGGTAGAGAAGTTTATTAAAAACGTATATTGCAACCCAGCCCCTCTGGTTCTGTGGTTGAGCTTTGACCCAAGAACCAGGAGATCAGGATCAATTCCTGGTCAGGGCACATGCCCAGGTTGTGGGCTCAATCCCCAGTAGGGGTCGTGCAGGAAGCAGCCAATCAATGATTCTTCATTGATGTTTCTATCCCTCTCTCCCTCCCCCTTTCTCTCTCTGAAATCAATTAAAACAGCGGTTCTCAACTGTAGGTCGCCACCCCTTTGGCGGTCGAACAACCCTTTCATAGGGGTCGCCTAAGACCACTCTGCATATCAGATATTTACACTACGATTCATAACAGTAGCAACATTACAGTTATGAAGTAGCAACGAAAATAATTTTATGGTTTGGTCACAACATGAGGAACTGTATTTAAAGGGCCAAAAGGTTGAGAACCACTGGATTAAAACATCCCTAGCTGGTTTGGTTCAGTGGATAGAGCATTGGCCTCTGGACCAAAGGGACCCGGATTTGATTCCGATCAAGGGCATGTACCTTGGTTATAGGCTCCTCCCCGGCCTGGGCCCTAGTTGGGGCTTGTGCAGAAAGCAACCAATTGATGTGTTTTTCTCACATTGATGTTTCTCTCTGTCTTGCCCTTTCTCTCCCACTCTCCTTAAAAATCAATGGAAAAATTCCTCGGGTGAGGATTAATAGTAACAACAAAAAATAACGTATTTTTTTTAAAATGCATATTTCAGTCCATATTTACTTAGAATCTGTATTTTAATAAGCACTCCACCTAATTCTGATGTACATGGACTACATTTTTGAGAAACAGGCTATGGGGAGAAATAATATCTTTTTTTAAAAAAACACAAAAGCCCTAGCTGGTTTGGCTCAGTGGATAGAGTGTCAGCCTACAGAGTGAAGGCTCCCGGGTTCGATTCCGGTCAAGGGCACATGCCCGGGTTGCTGACTCAATCCCCAGTAGGGGGTATGTAGGAGACAGCCGTTCAGTGATTCTCTCTCATCATTAAAGTTTCTATCTCTCACTCTCCCTTCCTCTCTGAAATCAATAGAAATACATTTAAAAAAAAACACAAAAGAAGTTTTATTGGGAAATATCATGCTCATTTTGGATTCTAAAATTCTGTAGTTCTGTGAAAAGCTGTAACTTTAACTAATCTGCAAGGCCTGTGTGGTAAAAGGAGTTCCTTGGAATATAGTGTAGAATACTGATAAAAGTACTACAGAACAATGAACCCATTTTGTCATTCACTCAACAAACATTTATTGCTTTATTGCAATGTATGGCAAAAGTCCGGCTCTTGGGGATTCTTTAACTCATTTGGCAGATATTAGTTGTGCTCCTGTTGTGTGCCAGATACTGGAGATAATTAAAACAGCCTCCGCCAGTAAAAGTTCACAGTGTCATAGTGCAGCCGAGTAGGTGTTAAGTTGCCACTTGTTTAATCTTAGAAACTGGCTGCCTCAGAGCAGTAAGCCTTTTGTTGGAAGAGAAAGGCATTACCATGTTCACACTCTGCATCCTGAGATGGTGTTCTTCTATCAGATTCCAGATTTCCCCGATCTTTGTAAGATGAAGTTTGTGTGGGGAAGTTTTGCACAGGCTCCTCTGTTAGCTTTTGATTTCGGTTTGTGAAGGAAATGTAGACTTGCTACACAACACTCTGTTTGGGTTGAGGGAAATGTGCACTTGTTATATATATAACAGCTAGAGACCGCCTTCTTACATTCACACTGTATTGGGCTTATCACCTGGACAGAAATACAGTGTCCTATTTGCAGTGTGTTAGCTTTAGAATTTCTGGGTCAAGGGAAGTTAGGTTCTCCTTTATAGGAGTTTATCTTAATATTCCTTTCTGAACAGCTCAGTGCTTCCCAGACTTTGCAGATGTTAGAGTTTTTTCAGTGGTCTATGGTTTCCACATTTATGATCTGATTTGATCCTTACAGTAACCTGAGAAGTATGTTATCGAAGGAACAATGCCGTTTTTATAGATGTGGACTTTGAAATCAGAGCAGTTCCCCAGCGATGCCACAGGCGGCCCTGGCCTCCTGACTTCTCTGCAGCTTTTCCACCTAACTCTGTTACCTCCCGGACAATGAGGTCCTTCCTCTTAGGTCACAAGACTGCATGTTTGGAACTAAACTTAGGATTTATCTCCAATTGTATTTTGAGTCATGTTCTTTTCAGGAAAATGCAGGAGTACGTCCTCCTGGCCTTTGGTGTAATACCACAATATTTTGTTCCTGATCTGGCTTCTCAGACATTCCTACAATCACATATTCCTTTTCCTCCAATAGGGAAAAACCTACGACAGATGAGCAAGGACTACCAACAAGTGCTGCTGGATGTCAGGCGGTCCCTACGGCGGTTTCCTCCTGGTGAGAAGCTCTCTCCCTCTGTCCTGTTATATGGAGGTTTCTGTCCCAGTTGCACTTACTTTCTTGTGTGATGCTTGCCAGTCCCAGGGAGTTTCCATCCCAGCACACAGTGTGACCTAATATCTAGTCCCATTCTGCTGAGTCACTCTTTAACCCCTTCCCCAACAATTTTTTTGTTAAAAACGTTTCTTTTTCAGACTAATTTTTTTATTTTGGTTCTATATAGTATTTTTGATGCTGGTTATGAAAACAGTTTGTAACTCGTCTTCCTATAAACCATATTTTTTTACCATATTTTTTTAGTATACTCGTCGACGACTGAAAAAGAACATTTTGTGAAAACGAGTATACACGTTTCTGCCGGGGAAGGGGTTAATTTACTCCATCACACTCAGACCCCCACTGAAAGCCTGAGCCAAAATAATTTCTCTTGGCCTAGAAGTGGTAAATGAGAGAAGTTTCTTCCCCGCTTTCAGAGCTACAGAAGAGGCTTCATAGAGATTGCTAGAGCCATCAGTCTGGCTTTAAAGAGCAGGTTGGTTTAAAAGTGGGCATTAACAAGAACTTTTTTTTTTTTTCAAATTCTTATTGATTTCAGAGAGGAAGGGAGAGGAGGCAGAGAGAGATAGAAACATCAATGATGAGAGAGAATCATTGATTGGCTGTCTCTTGCACACCCCCCACTAGGGATCGAGCCTGCAACTCGGGCATGTGCCCTGACCAGGAATCGAACCGTGACCTGGTTCATAGGTCGATGTTCAACTGCTGAGCCACGTTGGCCAGACTAACAAGAACTTTTAACATCTTCTTTGATTAGATTTATAAATAGTGATATCTTGCATATATGTGTATTGAGGTCCTTGGACTAGAAGGGAGGCCATTCTCTGCATGTTAAAAGAGTTTATTCCTAAAATTGCCTCCCCATTCCAGGAAGAATGAGAAGAATGACCATTGTCTCCATTTTCACAATGAAGGCAATTGGGCAACCAACCACATGCTTGTGATCTATTTTTCTTCTTTGCAACTGCACCTTTAGGTCCATGAAGAGAGGAGAATTGCTAACAGAAAATCAGTTGCCATGGCAAATCAGTGTGTCCTGAGAAATTTTAAGGGGTTGAGGATGCAGCAGGGGGCGCAGTAGTCTGGGTGGAGGCTTAGCATGGGCCTAGAGATGTGGAGATGCCGGTGTCTGCAGTGAGGCCTGGGAGGTGGAGCTGTGCCGGGTATGGTTCTGGACCATGTTGGGGCAGACCTGCTGCTGCACCATCATGTTGGGGGATTTGGGGAGTGTGGCAAGATGGTGCTCCTTCGGGTGTTTGCCAAGGACACCTACCCTGGGAGTTATGTCCCCACCGTGTTTGAGAACTACACTGTGAGTTTTGAGATAGACAGGTACACATTGAGATCAACTTGTGGGATACTTCAGGTTCCTCTTACTGTGATATTATCTGGCGCTGGCTTCTCTTGATTCAGACACGGTGCTCATCTGCTTCCACAGCCAACCAGAAACACTGGACAGTGTCCTCAAGAAGTGACAAGGAGACTCGGGAATTTTGCCCAGTGCCAAGGTTGTGCTGGTTGGCTGTAAACTGGACGTGTGGACTGACCTGACCACACTGAGGAAGCTGTCCAGTCAGTGGCTTATCTCTGTTACACATGAGCAGGGCACGGTGCTTGCCAAGCAGGTGGGGACCGTGTCCTACATTGAGTGCCCTTCCCAGTCCTCTGAGCACATGTCAGGGATGTCTTCCATGTAAGGACTCACACCTGGGACTGCAGCAGTCTGCTCAGCTGGCAGAAAGGCCAGACTGTGGGACAGGATCAGAGACGAGATATACAAGAATCGAGCCAAGTGTTGCAACCTCATGTGCAGGGCCAGGGAGGAACAGTGTCAGGAGGGGTGGTGAAGGGCACAATTCCTCTGCCCGCGCCTTGGCTTCCTGACCTCCTGACTCTGGCTGGAACTTCAGGGCAGGCTGAATGAGCAATTCTCTTAGGCAAGGGACCCAGAGGCAGAAAGGGTGCCACCATTCCCCATATCTTCATACCCTCCTCTCCATAAGAAGTTGAGGGAGCTAGCAGGGCAGGCATCTGGGACCGGAGCTGGGATAGGGCAGGGGCGTAGGGGAAGCTGGCATCGAGCAGTGGCCTTGGTTGAGTCTCAGTATATAAAGGGTGCCTTCCTTCCCCACCCCCAGTCTCCATATCCGGGTTCAGGCTTCCTTCCCTAAGGAAAGTGTCCATTCCATGACCTTCCCTTTTCCTCTCCTCTCACTTCTACAGCTGTTCTCACTCAACCTCCAGCCAACATGCACTAATTAAAAAGCAAGTTGAAAAGCCCCTTCCCCTATAAATCCACCAGCCCTAGTGCCTCCCTCTCTTCCCCAATAGCCCACAAATAAAGCCCATGTCCATGGCAGGGGAGGAGGATTATTTTTTAACATGCAATAACTGACTATTTAGTCAGGACCACTGATCTCTTTTTTTCTTAGCATGTCAAATTTTAAAATGACAACAGCTGATACAACAAAAACCATCTGGTGTGAATAAGTCAAAATTATACCTATTTTTATGGGGGGGTGGGTTTCAGGTCAGCAAAAAATGCAAAATATTTTAGTGATGCCTTTAGCAGAATTTTAATAATTAGTTTATGTGTGCCATGAGATAAAAAAGATTGAAAATCACTGCTAAACCCATTGCTTCACTCTTCTGAAACCATGCTTTGGCTTGGATTTTGTGTTAAAGAAAGCTCTCTTTCCTGCTTACATCTTTGCTCCCTGGAGGGCTTCTTTTCTCCTGTAGCCAGTGGCCTGCCAACTTGGTTTTTAATGTTTATTTTATTTATTTACTTATTTATTTTTATTGAGGTACTAGAGGCCCCAGGGCACAAAATTTGTGCATGGCGGGGGGTAGGGAGGTCCCTCAGACCAGCCTGCGCGCTCTCACAATCCGGGACCCCTTGGGTAGGGTCCCTAGGCCTGGCTAGCGATCCGGGCCTATTGGGGCTTTCCTTCCCCCGGCTGCCAGCTGCCAGCAGCTGGCCCGGCCCCCACCGCTGCAGCTGCTTGCCATCTGTGCTGCGCTGCTCCCCCGCCACCTTTGCCTCCCTCTGTGGGCGACAGGCATGCAGTGCAATCGGTGCAATCACTTGGCTGGCCTGTGCCTCCCTCTGTGGGGCAATCGATTGCAGGGCCCCCAGATAGATTGCTCCGCAGAGGGAGGCCCTGCCCACCTGGCCAGGGCTCTGCAATCGATTGCTGCGCAGAGGGTGACCTGGGCCTCCCTCTGCAAGGTGATCGCAGAGCCCCCCCGCCCCCCGATTGCCCCTGTGGCCTGGGCCTCCCTCTTTGGGGTGACCATGGGGCGATGGCAGGGCCCTCCTGATCAATCGCATCGTGCCCGCCTTGGCTGGCCTGGTGCCAGTGTGTGTCATAGCGTGGTCTTCGGAAGGTCATCGGATGGTTGTTCTGCTGTTTGGTCATTCGGCCGATATGCATATTAGCTTTTATTATTATAGATAGATAATTGGCATATAACAATACATTAGTTTCAGGTGTACAACATGATGATTCAGTATTTGTATATATCCAACTTGGTTTTAATGAAAACATATGCCCATAGTCCAATCCCCATTTCCCTATCCTGTTACTTTGATTCTTTTTGTGTGTGTGTGTGGGGGGGGGGGGGGGGTGTTTGTATAGTCTCAATTTCAAATATGGAGCTTGCCACAGTGGGGATCGAGCCTGCAACCCAGACATGTGCCCTGACCGGAAATCAAACCATGACCTCCTGGTTCATAGGTTGATGTTCAACCACTGAGCCATGCCAGCTGAGCTTATTTGTGTGTTTTTAAAAAATAACTTTAATTTAGGTTTTTATGTTGAAGATCAACTTTTTAAAAAGAAATCTACAGTGACATTTATTTTTAAAAAATTTTTAATTGTAGTTTACATTTAATATTAGTTTCATAGTTTCAGGTATACAGCATAGTTAGACATTTATATAACTTACAAAGTAATTTCCCTGATAAGTCTAGTACTCACCTGGCACCATACATAATTATTACAATATAACTGACTATATTCCTTATGCTATACTTTATATCCCTGTACTATTTTGTAACTACCAATTTGTTCTTCTTAATCCCTTCATTTTTTCCTCTAGCTCCCTGGTAATCCTCCCATCTGGTAAACATCAGTTTGTTCTCTATGAGTCTATTTTTATTGTTCATTTAATTTTGGTTTTTGTTTTTCTTTGGATTCTACATATAAGTGAAATCATATGGTATTTGTATTTCTCTGTCTGACATTTCACTAAGCATAATACCCAGCATGATCCATGTTCTTGCAAATGGTAAGATTTCACATTCTTTTTTTATGGCCAAGTAATATTCCATTGTATATATACCCCATATTTTCTTTATCCAATTGCTATGGACATTTAGGTTGCTTCCATATCTTGGCTTTTATATATGAAATGCCCTTCCTTGTCGCTTGTTTATAGCCTTTGTTTTAAAGTCTGTTTTGTCTGATAGAACTATTGCTCCCCCCAGCTGTTTTTTATTTCCATTTGCATGAAGTATCTTTTCCATCCCTTTACTTTCAGTCTCTGTGTGTCTTTTTTAAAAATTTCTTTTGTTAATAATTCTTTATTCTTGGAAGTATTACATATGTCCCCCTTTTCCCCCCACTGACCCCTTCAAACCCCCCCATGTGTCTTTTTAAAAAAATACAATAAAGAGAAGAAGGGGGGGGAGAGAGAGAGAGAGAGAAACATTGATGAGAGAGAAACATCAACTACCTCCTGCATGCCTCCTACTGGAGATCAAGCCCGCAACTCTGGACATGTACCCTGCCTGGGAATCAAACCAGCAACTTCCTGGTGCATGGGATGACGCTCAACCAACTGAGCCACACTGGCTGGGTTCTGTGTCTTTTGCTCTAAAGTGGGTTTTTGTTGGTAGCATATGTATGGATCTTTTTTTCTTCTCCATTCAGCCA